GAAGTTCTAAGCTCAGGTTCATGAAAATATTGCTCATAGGCCATGTGAGCACACTTAAAAGAAAAAAGTTTCTATTAATATTACCTACATTATAAAGATGAGCTAAAAATTGCTTCTTCAATGTTAACAGCAAGTATAACTTTGAATGCCTAAGAATTGGATTTTACTGGGCCTAGCAATTCATTTGTCTCTCACCTACTGCCCTTTCACTGTTAGGAAATATTGTCAAACATTGATTTGGAAAGGCATTCTAAACAAAATACAATAACTTATCTACCATGTAAAATATGCTTTTTTCAGAATATTGAGAAATAACATTTTCTAACATGTTGTGGATTTGCTTTGTTTTATTTTATTTTATTTTTTGGTGCTGGGAATCAAACTCATGATCTTGTACTTGCCAGGCAGGCACTTATGCCACTGAGCTAAATCCCTAGCCCCCTTGTTTTATTTATTTTTTTTCACTATTAGTAATTGTCAGTGGGACACACCTATATTTTCAGCTGTTTATGAAGCTGAGGCAAAAGGATTGCAAGTTCGAGGCCAGCCTGGGCAATTTAGTGAGACCAAAATAAAGATCAAAGGGCTGGAGGTATACTCAGCAGCCCAGGGGTTCAATTTTTTGTAGTGCTTCCCATGCCATACGGTCCCAGCTTTTATTTCTCAGATCACTCAGCAGGTATCCTCAGCTTACACATCACCTGGCACCTTACATTCCAAACCATCCACAGTCCTCAGGAAAAGTAGAAAAGGCAAATGGCTTCATAAAAACACATTTTAGAACTACACCAACCTTAGCCTCAACTTCTGCCCCTAGCCTTAGCCAAGCTCAGGGCTCTTCCCCGCCTCTACATTTTTAAGTCCTTTTGAATTTACGTATGGCAGGCCATTCTTACTCCTCAATTTTCCTATCCCTAAAGTCTCCCTCCTCTTGCTGACTGTATCCCAATCCTCTCCTTCCTCCGATACTTGTTACAACATGCTGATCTCTGCCTTTCCTAACCCTCGGAAGGACCAGTCCAGATCCTCCCATTTCCCCAGGAGATCTAATTTATCTCCACTGTTCTAAATCCACAGGACTACAACCAAGGTGGAGCGGCGCCTACCTGGTCTTCTTGGCAACCCCAACAGCAGTCAAAGTTGCTGGACTGCCATCCTGGTTCCACATCATTCAAGCGGTGCCCTCCCAGCCCTAAATCTATCCATCCTGAGTGGTCATCTCATCTTCTGTTGCCCACCAGTCTCCATCTCACCAAGGCCTCACAGCCACAGCTCTCAGGCTGTCATGTTTTGTTATCCAATTTGGTTCCTAATCCCTTATATTCTATTAAGTGATTATCTTTTTTATAGCAGGACTCTTAACAATCTTTCCTAAAGACTCCCACATCATGCATAAGATCATCATGCATAAGATAGTTGTTCTACGTGACAACTGTCTTAGTCCTCTCTACCCTCAGCTGTTTAGTCAAACATGAGATCCCTATGGGCATAGGCTCCTGTTTCCCTTATAGTGACACAGCCACGGCCTTCCCCACCCCTCTTATTCTTTCCAGCTCATCTCCGAGACCAGAGACAAGCCCTACCTACTTACGCTTTTAACTGTTACTCTTTCAGATGAGAAAATAATCACCTTCCATAACTTTACTCCTTCTAACCCTACACTTATTTTTCAGAATTCTACCTCACTGTGGTCTTGATAAAATGACATTTCTAAATCAAAGGCACCTTTCCTTCTACCTCCCCTGAGTCCTTAAATATGATAGTGGCCTGCCTCATAATACCTTGTCTCTTTGTTTTTCAGCCTAATGTGCGGGCATTCACCAATGATAAAGTTGCCCTGGCTGAAACACCTGGCACCAGCTTCTACACATGCATCAATCATCATCCTGTCAACCTTCCTGAACCCCAACACGGTGCCCCCTTTCAGCAGGAAATAGTAAGAGAGAGACTTTGCCCTTTTCCTAACAATAAAAAAGACGGGAATGAAAAGATTTTGCCTTAGATATGATATTATGGCAGTGGGAGGTGGGATCAAGGGATGTTTACCTTGAGGTCACTTCCCCCTTCCCCTATGACAACTTCCTTTTCCTTCTACCAGTGGCGTGAAAAAAGTCCCAATCATCTGCTCACGAGTCAGCAATGCCCGCCCTAAGTGCCACTCCGGTCAGAGGTTATATGTATGTCTCATGCCCCATGCTCTGGTAGAGAAGCCAAGCTCCAGTAGTCATGGAGTTCTCTCTGTATCCTTAGAATAAAAGCTGTTTTTACTTTATATTCTCTCTTTTATTGTGCCAAAAATCCTATCACAATACCTTTTATGATAGCATCCAAAGAAATGAAGTACCTAGGAATCAATCTAATAAAGAATGTAAAAGACCTCTAAATTGAAAACTACAGCACTTTGAAAAAGGAGATTGAAGAGAATATTAGAAAATAGAGAGATATCCTGTGCTCTTGGGTAGGAAGAACTAATGTAGTGAGAATAGCCATACTTCAAAATTGTTATATATATTCAATGCAATCTCAATCAAAAGTCCAATAGCGTTATCTCATAGAATTAGAGAAAACAATCCTAAAATTCATCTGAAAAGGGCAGTGAATATGGGTCAGCAGTGCAGCACTTGCCTGGCAAGCATGAAGTCCTGAGTTTCATTCCCAGTACAAAAAAATAAACAAATTTATCCGGAACCAGAAGAGGCCTAGAATAGCAAAGGCAATCCTGTGTAACAAAGACAAGACAGGAGGCATCACAATTCCTGACTTGAAATTATAACTATAAAGTTACTGTCATAAAAGCAGTGTGGTACTGGCAAAAAAACAGACCTGCAGATCAGTGGAACAGATTAAAAGATGCAGAAACAACTGCAGACACACTAAGCCACCTTACCTTTGACAAAGGTGCCAAACACATTCACTGGAAGAAAGATAGCCTCTTTAATAAATGGTGCTGGAAAAACTGGCTCTACACATAATGAATATTAAAACTGGACACATATCTTTCACAATGTACTAAGCTAAAATCTGAATGGATCAAAGATCTTAGCATTAAAATAGAAACATTAAGTCTGCTGGAAGATAAGAGGAGGTAAAACTCTTGAAGACACTGGTGTACACAAAGACTTTATAAACAGAACTCTGATTGCACAGGAACTATCACAAAGAATCAACAGCTTAGATCTTACCCTATAGAAAAACTTTTGCACAGCAAGAGAAACCACCAACAGTGAAGAGACCACCCACACCATGGAAGAAAATGTTTGCCAGCTGTACCTTAGACAAAGGATTACTACTGAGAACACATAAAGAACTAAAAAAAAAAAAAATCAGTCCTCCCAGATTAAAAAACCCAATCCAAAAATGTGCATCTGAGATGAATACACACTTCTCAGATGAAGAAATTCATACAGCAAATAAACATGTGAAAAAATGTTCAACATCACTGGTCATTTGAGAGAAGGTCATGAGTTGGATCCTGGGGACAAACAAAACAAAACAAGAATCAACCAATAACAAATGCTGGAGGGGCTATGGGGAAAAAGGAACTCTTGTCCACTGTTGTTGGGAATGTAGACTGGTACAACTACTGTGGAAATCAGTGTGGGGATCCCTCAAAAAAACTATGACTGTTGATCCCATTTAACTCAGCTATTCCTCTTCTGAATATCTTCTCAAAAAAAAAATGTCATACCACAATGATATATGTGCACCCATATTTATAGCAGTTTATTTATTTATCTTTTGTCTTTTTGAGATAGGGTCTCACTATGTATTTGAGGCTGGCCTCGAGCTCACTTTGTAGCCCAAGCTGGTCTCAAATTCACAACGATCCTCCTGCCTCAGCCTCTCCCCAGAACAGCACTGTTTATAATAACCAGATCTTGGAAACAACCCCAATCCCTAGGGACTGAGAAATGGATAAAAAAGATGTGGTATTTTTATGCAATGAAGTACTACTCAGCCATAAAGAAAGATAAACTGGACACTTTCACAGGTAATTGGGTGCAACCTGAAAACAGTGTATTAAGAAAGATGTATGTGTAAACATTGTATTGTTTTATTAGTGTGACAAGCTGAAAGAAAAAATATATATTTATGTATATATATATATGTATATAAAAAGTTAAGTTAGTTGTACTACTGATTTCTCTGAGTTCGCTCAAGAGAAAAATTTGTATTGGTATTGCTCTGACAACTGAATCCAGATGTCTTGTGCTTTGGGTGAATGATCTAGGGATGACAATGTGCACTGTCTGTACCATTCATTGTTGCCCCCTGATTGACACTTTGAAATTTTGTTGTTTTTTTCCTTTATCTTTTTGTTTGAATAAAATGCATTTTAAAAAATAAAAAGCATAAAAAAGAACTAAGGAAAAAAAAGAAAACGAAAAAAGAAAAAATTGTACCTGGCAGTGCTAAAACTATGGAGCTAAAACAGGTATGGTGCTCCTTCAGTCTGCTTTTCACACTGCTACTGGATTTACTCGGTGTCCCTTGCTTGTTTGCTTTTATTTCCTAATTTGCAAAATGGAAATGCTAGTATCAGTGTACTTCAGTGTCATGAGGCTTAAAAGAGTTAAAACAAATATATGTATATATAGTAGCTTGAAGTGCTAAATGTTTTTTAGTTTTCAAAAACAAAATAATTGTACCGGCATCATTTTGTGACTTCTTTACTAAAATCCTGTCGCTTTATCCTATGATTGACCAAAAGAAGCTACCCTTTAAAATTCCTTCCTTATCCATCGCCTCCAGTTTTGGCTGTCAATACTTGACTTGCCAGATCAGAAGTGCAGACAGTATTTTACTCTATCAGCTCGATGCCTTTCAAAAATAAGCCACTTAGTCTCCATGAGAAGTTTAGGCATTAGAACAGCTAGAGAAGATTTACAAAAAAAAAAGTCTTCTGTATGGAGAATACCCTTGGGAATCCAAACCCATAACAAACTTTTCAGTAAATACCCGTTTTCTTCGCCCTTCACCGACGTCACTCGGTCACTGACCTCTGACGCAATGAAGGCTGGATTGGGCAGGCAGCTGGATTTCTTAGATCTTTGCCTGCCTCGGCTGGTCCGGCTGGCTCTGCCCGTCTGTTGATTTTGCATTTTCATTGGTCAATTTTCCAAGGAGGCCGACGGCGGATGGACCCCGCCCCCCATGGGCGGGGCCTTTCCGCCCCCCCGAGGCCGGGATGATGGGGGTTATCCTAGCCGCCATCTTGGATTCCGCGGTAGCGGTGGCGGCAGTAGGGCGCCCCTTCTGGGGAGTGGCTCTCCTCCCCTTCATCCCCCCACCCCGCGCTCGGTGGCAGCGGCTCCTCCCATTGGGGGGTGGCGCGGCGGCGGCAGCGGCGGCGGCGGCATCTAGGCCATGGCGGCAACTACTGCTAACCCCGGTGAGGAGAAGTAGGACTGGGTCGCCTCTAAAGGGGGAGCAGCTGAAGGGGCTGACAACTGAGGAGCCCAGAGGCTGAGCGGCCGGGGCGGCGACGCGAGGCGCTGGGACTGGCTGCGGCGGCGGCCAGGCGACTGTGGGGGAGGGGAGGTTGGGGGAGAGGCCTGACCCTGGGGACCCGCGGAGACCCGGGTAGACCGGGATCGGAGACCCGGGCAGACCGGGATCGCGGGCGAGCGGAACTTGCGGCTTTCCAGCCCCAAACTCTGCTGAGCAGCGGGCACACGGGGTCGGGCGCCTGTGCTCTTCGGACGGCATCTGGTCCTGTGATGTGGTTGTCTTTTAACCCTCTGCCGGCTGAGGCGCCCCGTGCCAAAGGACTGCTGGCAAGAGTGGGTCAGTTTACTTGGAGTAGTTCGGCGTCATAGCCATTGGACCACGTTGCTGTTTATCAGAGTGTGTGTGCTCCAAACACTAGATTTTCGTGTAAGATGTGGCGTTCTATGGGTTCATGCTTATGTTCTCGGGGCTTTACCTCCCGCCGCGCCCCGCCCCCTCGGGCTATACTGGGAGATCTGCGTTTGCGTTTTAAGAGCCCCCAAAGCGTCTTCAGCTGCTGGAGGCGGAGGGTTTGTACAGTAGTTGGGATTTAGGATAGTTTTTTCGTTCAGGGCCCCACTGCAAATCTTGGTGGGGCTACGTCGGGGCGATTTCCATTCCCTCAGAAAAATTTAGTTCATGCCGTTTTGCCGTTCTTCTCTCTTTTTCATGCCATTTCTCAATGCACATTAATTTGAAAAATGTAGCCAGTCGTGTCTAAGAGATAGAATGAGTTGTGATACAAGTCCAGGGAGATCAGATCTTTTGAATTTCTAGTCGCAGACCTCTCTCCACTACGTTATGGTTATTTTTTTCTAGAAAGTATTTCATTTTATGGGACTACGTTTAGTTTGCTTAGTTGGCCATTTTTCCCTAAATAAATAAAATGTATCCATTCCTAGAAATGCTTGTGTTTGATAACTTTAAAAAAATCCAAGGGAAGCCGAAGAGTGTGGGGGTGAGAGGAGAGAGGTGGGAGGTGGGAAAGAATTTGCTGCTGTCCTGAAGTGGGAGTTTGATTTTCTTCATGTCTCTGAAGGCGGTATTATTTCGCAATTCTCAGGTGTTGCTATTACAGTTGGATCACTATGAAATTTACTATCTTTTCCCCATGTTTCCGGGAATAGAACTGTTTAAAGAAATTGTTAATTTGTCACATGTCAATATGAGTTTTTAATCTTTAAAACATTTTTAAGGGAAAAGGAGATAAAGTTAATGATTTTCTCGAGGAAGAAGTGCTGAGTGATAGAATAAAATTGAACAGTTGGAGAAATGCTATAGAGAAAACCAGACCTTGTAGTAAAACAGTCAGTCAGTGAGCTAGGGATAAGATTTAAAACTGATCACACAATGCAAACTCCTTATATAATCCTAGTCAAATTGCAAAGCATTTCTTATAAGAAACGGCCAGGGTAAGCAAGTTTTAGTGCATATGTCAGAAGCTTTTTTCCAGCTATGTGGGTGGGGTTACTTTGTTTTGTTTTTTTAAACAACAGTCACCAGAATGACAATCTCTTGACCATATTTTCAGTTGGCTGATCAATATCACCTTAAATCTCTGAGCAGAAAATAGCATTTTTTGTTGCAGAATCCTTGGCAGTAGTTTTTTTTTTGTTGTTGTTGTCACGTTTGGTCCTTGGCTGCTTGCTTCTGAAAATTACAGACTACCTTTTTGGTAGATAATTTTTGGTTAAATAATTTTTCCATTTCTTCAAAGGTTTTATTTTTTATTTTTTTGGTACAGGGTTTTGCTGTATAGTTTAGGGTGCCTCTTATTTGTGTAGCCCAGGCTGACCTAAAACTCAAGGCAGTTCCCTTGCCTCAGCCTCCTGAGTGCTGGAATTACAGGTGTGCACCACCCACACCCAACTCTTCTGAGTTGTTATGTGTTCACCACATGCTAATCACATCAGAAAGTGTATTTTTTCCCTTTGCTTTTTATCAAAAGGAAGAGATCAGATCAGACTTTTTTTTTTTTTTTTTTTTTTTGATACTGGGAATTGAGCTCAAGACCTTGCACTTGCCAGGCAAGCACTTACGCCACTGAGTTATATGTCCTCGTGGTTTATCTTGTTTTGTTTTTATAGCCTGTTGCATTTTAGTAGCCTGTTGCACACAAAGTGGAAATATATCATGCTCAGTGAAAAGAAATAAGTGGCTTTTAAATTTTGTGCTGCATTATCAAATCTTTTTTCGTTCACACCTATTTCTTTGAGATTTTTCTACTCTGTATTTTGGCTGGAGTGACAATTGGTTAGGTTTCTCAGCAGAAGAGTTTATAAAAGGGATTTCACTTTTCTCTCTTAAGCTTTAATTGAATTTAATCTTTAGCAACACTTATATTAATTATGCTTCCTCTGCTGTGGAGTCCTTTGCTGGTGGTCTCTTTAGGGACCTGCTTTCTCTACTTTTTTTTTTTTTTTTGGTCTTTTGAGACAGGGTCTCTCTATGCAGTTCAGGCTGGCCTTGAGCTCACTTTGTAGCCCAGACTGGTCTCGAACTCGCAACGATCCTCCTGCCTCAGCCTCCCAAGTGCTGGGACTACAGGTGTGAGCCACCATGCCCAGCCTTTCATTATATTTTAACATGGTGCTACATTAGAAGATAATGAATTTGTAGTCTCTGAGTTGTGTTGAAATGATAGTTCTAAATGTCTAAATGTGATGACTTTTTTTTTCCTGTATGAGTTGGTAATTCTTTGTACCCTATTTTTTTTTTTTTTTTTTGTCTTTTTCATTTTTATCGGTACCGGGGATCGAACTCACGACCACCTGCTTGCAAGGCAGGTGCTTATGCCGCTGAGCTAAACCCCCAGCCCCTCTATTTTTTAAAAATTAATACTACTTACCAGTGGTAAGTGGTTTTCTTTTCTATGGTTTTTAACAGAGTGAAGGTTAATACTTTAATTAGATTTGCAGTTTGCAGTACATTGACTAAGGGACCAGTTGGCAAAAGATTAGGTTTTTTGTTTGTTTGGTTTGGTTTTGGTATCAGGATTTGAACTCATGACTTCATGTTTTCCAGACAGGTGCTATGCCACTAAACTATATCCCCAGCCCAAAATTAGTTTTTAATTTTTAATGTTCAAACCTGAGAATTGAACCAGTTTGTGGTGTTACTTTTTTTCTCCCCTGATTGTGTTATTCTCATTAATGGAGAAGTCATTGTATACACTATTGTTTGTTTATTTCTGTTTAAGCCAGATCCCAGGTATGTACTATTAAATACCTTTTATTGCTGATGGAGAATGTAGTAGAGGGCAAAAGAAGGAACACTGGGTTTGTAAGGCTGATATTTAGGCAAAAAGTTTCTTATTACATAATTTTCAGTGCTGTAAATTATAGTTTTAAGCAACAGTTAACAGAATTTTTCCTGTGGATTGAACTCAGGACATCTAGCATGCTAAACAAGTGATTTATCACTGAACTACATCCTTGCTCTTAATTTTCTAAATTTTGAGCAGGGTCTCTTGTTATCCTGGTTGGTCTTTAATTTGCCATCCTCCTCTCATGTTAACCTCCCAAGTAGCTAGGATTACAGATGTATGCCCACCATAACCTAGTTCTCAAAATTCTTACCCATTACCTTTATATACTTTTCAGATATGGGAAAATAGAAATTTAGGTAGTATAAAATTGAATTTTCAGCTGGTTGTGGTAGTACATGCCAGAATTGAAGCACTCATGAGGCTGAGGCAGGAGGATTGCCTTAAGTTTGAGGCCAGCCTGGGTTATATAGTGAGTTCCAGGCCACACTGAAGTGCATAGCAAGACCCTGTCTCAAAACAAAAACAAAAACAAAAACAAACAATAAATTGTCAAGATACTTTTTTATAAATTTTACTGCAAAAGACCCTTAAAAAGTAATTGAGCATATTTTACTAATTCAGCAATAGAAATAACAATTGACATTCTAAAAAAGGAACCTCAGTTTGTATACTTTTTATGCAGTGGGTTTGTGGTACCAACATGAGTCTTCTGTGTTCCTTAGAATTAAGAAGATAGTTCTAGGGGCCAGGGATATAGCTCAGTGGCACAGCACCTGCCTGGCAAGCACCTGCCTGACAAGGGTGAGGTCATGAATTTGGTCCCCGCCACAAAAAAAAAAAAAAAAAAAAAAAAAAAAAGAAGATACTCGTGCATTCTTGGAACTTTAGTTGTCATTTTGAAATAGTAATCTCAGCTTAAGTTTTGGCCTTTTAGTTCTTTCCATTCAGAAAGTCCTCTAAGAGACACTGATTTGTTGCTTTATGGATATTTTGTAGAAGCCTTTTGTGGTTCTTTGTTACAGGTGACTTTCTTCCAAGGCCATAACAATAGGAATTTTCACATGCCAAATGGTGGTTGATCTTCAAAAACTCAGTTGCAACATTTAAAAGGAAAGTAAGATTTTTTTGTTTGTTTGTTTACTAAAGTAATAATATCTTGGAGTTTTTTTACTTCTGAAACTAGCAAACTAATAAAATTTAAGTTCTCCATTGTAGAAACTGTTTTTGGAGTCATTTTTTTTCCCTAGTTAAAAGATAGTTAAGAGGGCTGGGGATTTAGCTCAGCGACATAAGCGCCTGCCTTGCAACCATGCGGTCGTGTTGTGTTCAATCCCCAGTATCCAAAAAAAAAAAAAAAGTCCTGGAAAGAGGTACAAAAGTAATATTTCTGTCAGTACTGCCCAGTGTTTCTGTGGTTATGTAGCAAATTTCATTTAGATGTAACAGAGAATACATTTAAAGCCCTTTGGAAAATGTAAAGCCTTAATTCAGTGAACATGCCTAAGTATTGGCCTTGCTTGTTCATCTATCTTTTTTTGTTTATTTCTTTTTTTTTTGAGACAAAGTCATGCTGTGTGGTTTAGACTGGTCTTCAACACACTAAGCCCATGCCTCAGATTTGCAGTGATCCTCCTGCCTCAGCCTCCCAAATCCTGGGGTTATAGATATGTGCCACCACACCCACCTCTCATCAGTCTGTTTTTTTTTTTTGTCTTTTGCGTTTTTATCGGTACCAGGGATTGAACTCACGACTGCCTGCTTGCAAGGTAGGCACTTATGCTGCTAAGCTAAATCCCCAGCCCCCTATCAGTCTGTTTTTAAAGAAGCTGCCTCCTGTGCCGTGATGACTTCAGTAAATAGACTTAGTGAATGTCAGGTTGGGAGGAAGACGGTTGTTCTGATTTACACACAACTAAACAAAACCATGGAAAGGAATGGATATATCTATTAAACATTTAGTAATTTCTCTGTATATCAGGATATACTTTATTTTGTTGATTAGTCTCTGTATTAGAAAATATCTTCTATTTTGCAGATAAATTCTCTAAATTTATGTCGCTTTCATAATTTTTTCTTTTATTTTTTTCCCTTCAAATTACATTGTAATTGAGTAGACAAAGTAAGGTTATAGCTTCAACCTTATAATTGGAACATAAGCTCCATGGGAACACTTGTTTTCCTTATCATAGCATGCTGGTGCTTACAGTTAATGGTTAATGTATAGGACTGGAGTTAAGTTAATATGTGTTGAATAAATGAGTGAGTGTAAGACCCAATATTGGATGTTTTCCATTGAAAGGAAAATACTTTTTTTTTTTTTCTTTCTTTTTTTTTTTAATCGGTACCAGGGATCGAACTCATGACCACACACTTGCAAGGCAGGC